TGAATTGGACAACCTACCAGGCACGGTCCTTAAGCCACATTGCTTGTTGTTTAATTAATCAGAAGGGGGGAGATGCTGGGAGCCATTAGCCAAGTAAGTAGGTATGACAGTTTCCTTGCCAGCGTACCCCATGTTGCAGTGACATTGAATGTAGGTGACCTTGCTCAAGGACCAGGGCGGATTAGGGTGTTCCGGTTTAAGATATCGTGTTTAGGGCGTTCCCAGTTTAGGTTCCAGGTTTAAGGTTTAAGATTATTCCTCCTGGGAATAGGGCCTATCCTGCTGCCTGAGTTCCCCTTGAGTTCTCACGGGATTCAGACAATATATTTTGGGAGACAGAAGCCCAGTGGGTGTGGATTTGGGCAGAGAACGTGGATTTCCCCAGAACGTGATTGTAGACGGCTGGTGTGAGTTCGGGAATAAAGAGTTGCTGTTTGAATCTACAAGCTGTGTGGTGGCTCGTGATTGTGTGCCCAGCCAGACACACTGCGGCATTTGTGCCCAGCCAGACTGTGGCATTGACAAGATCTGCGGTCATGTTTTTATTCATTTAACATGTAATTATTGACTAACCTGAGCTGGACTGAGTTCTGTGCTGGAGGTAGATCTTTGACAAGGCCAAGCTTCTTCTACCTTCCTGCATGTTAGGTTATACTGAGGGAAGATAGTTCACCCTCCCCATACACACAGAGATTAATAAAATGAAATAATACCGATTATTAGTATTGTGAAGGAAGTTAATGAAGGATGAAGAGACGAAACTGGATCAGAGCAAGTTAAGTATGAGGATGAGGAGAACTCTGTGGAAGAGTGTTATAGTTCAGGATTGAGAAATGAGAAGGCCAACTGTAGAAGGAAGGTGGGGAGAGAATTCCAAAATCAAGGGGCCCGTGTGTGCAATGGTCCCACGTGAGAAAGAGCTTAGTCTGACAGATGGTAAAAAAAAAAAAAAAAAAAAAAACGAAAAACAGTTGTCATATTACAAGTGTGAAGAGCTGAGCAGTGGGCCTCTGAGATAGTAGAAGTGTGCTTGGGTTTTATTTCTAGGGCAATGCAGAGCTATTAGTGGGCTTTAAGTGGAGAAGAAACCAATGTGCTGGCTTTGAGACAAGAAGGCTGCTGCCAGGAGAATTGCCCGAGAGGGAGAGGCTCCCAGGTTGAAGACTGATGTCTCAGTGTTGGGCAGGGGTGACTGGAGTGTCACTGAGAATAGCAGCAGCAGATGTTGCTAAATCCACACATTGGGCGGGATTGAAAGAGGAAAGGTCTCTATTCAGCAACAGAGGAGATACTTCTGTGGGGTCCAGTTTGTGTGAGTGGGGAGTAGGTTGGCCATTAGAGCTACATCTGCCCTTGTTAGGTTGGAGCCTTGTTTCATAAAGGGTACAATGCATAGGCAGCTCTTCTGGCAAGATAATATAATAACATAATGGTTATATTACACAGTGAGATTATATGTCTCTGGATTTTGATATTGGTTAAAATTATGTATATGAAATGTGCACACTTATGCAATATGGTTGTGTTTTAGGCTAGAGCTTCTTGGTTCCCTATCAAGTCATTTAGGGAGAGAAAAAAAAAATTTTGACAATATGGGTGTCCCAGTCTTTTTTCTGTTCCTACACAAAACACCAGAGGCTAGTGATGTGTAAGAGATTAATTTTACTAACAGTTCTGGAAGTCCAGGAACATGATATGACAAGGAGTCAGCCTCTGGTGAGGGCCTGGTGCTATAACATACCATGGCAGAGAAGTGAAGGGTAGGAAGCAATCACGTGTGAAAGGAGCATGTGTGCAGGGAATCAACAGAGAGGTTCCAGGCTCACTTTATAACAACCCACTCTGGTGGAAACTTATCCAATCCTGTGAGACCTGAAAGATCTAATCCAGTTTCCAGAGAATTAACCTATTCTCTTGGGAAAAAAAAAAAAAAAAACTATTTATTCATTCAAGAGGATGGTGCCCTCCATGAGCTAATCACCTCCCACTGAGCCCCACCTCTTTAATGTCCCACCACACCTCAGTCTAACTCTGTTGGAGACCCTGATTCTAACACAGGAAGCTTTAGGGAACAGATCACACCCAAACCACAGCAATGGGTGTTACTTTAATGTCTTTGTATAATTTTGTTACTTACAGAAGTCACATGCCCAACCTGTATAAAAATGTAGGAGATGAATTGATAAGAGAATGTGATGTATAATATGTAACTCAAGGGACATGCTGTCTGAGTTCCATTCTCAGACCCACATTAGTTACCTCTGTGAGCACCCACGATATAATGCAGATAACAATGGTGCCTACTTTTAATAGAGTTGGTGTAATCCCATGATCACATCCAACCTTCAGCCTGATGCCTGCAGTATGTAAGGAAATAGTAAATGTTAACTGACTGTGGTAATTTCAGCATTAGAAAGTAATCTAGACTTGCTTTTGTTTTCCTCTCTTGTTTTACAGAGGAGAAAGCCTTAGCCTTGTATTTCATGAAATATGTCAACTCAGCTTGTTAGAGATAGTCCCAGACTTGGGGTACTCTTTTCTTTAAACCCTCAGTGACTGCTCTGCAGAATTCCTTTTCCTTAGAAGAATGACATGTCACCACATGCTAAGACTGAATTTGGATGCTGTAGGGTGGGGTGGGAGGGATTGAGATATCTGGAAAGAGAGAGAATACCACCCTCCCAAATGCAGAATACTGGTAAGATAAAGAAAATCAGAGACATGTGGAGTATGAAATGGATAAGAAGATGCCTATCTTTGGATTGAAAATCTGAGATTTGTTAGGAAGATGAATCGGCTAAGAATCCAAAGCTAAGTATTATCTACAAAAATACTTAATAATAAATTAGACATCACTAAGACACAAATTCAAGAATGGGCTGCTTCCAGAGGGTCTTAAAATCTCTGTAACTTTAATTTGATAACAAAGAAAACTTTGGGATGAGAAAAACCATCACGAAGGGTGAATGAGACATAGCAGAAATACTCAAAATGTCAAACATTTCACTTAAGTAGAATTAGAGCATCTCCTGGGACTTCATGTGTGTGTAATGTTTCTCAGAAGGAAAATAATTATATTCAGGTTTATTGAGGGCCTGAGAACGTGGGTATTAAGAATGGGGTCATGCAGTCTGCGAACCTTTTTTTTTTTTTTTTTTCCAAAAAGCCTTTGGCAAATAGAGACAGCAGAGAGTCCTGCATCCTTATACCCATAGAACACATTCATTGAAATTATTCAAAGGAAACTCTGTAGAAAGCTCAGCTAGGAACATAAATTGATGTCACATTTAGAAAGAAGAAAAACGGGTGGGAAAGGATAGAGTAACTGGAAAGGTTTCAAATCAATGAACAATCCAAATGGCAAAGAATTCTATTGCTAAAAACAGTCTAAAGCAATTCATGTAGGTATCTTTCCAGCAAATGAGTGTCTACTAAGTACAAATAACTGTTAAGAGTTCTGAAAAACATAGATGTGGAGAAACCATGAATCTTACCCCCAAAGAGCTCAGAGTTCAGTCAGAAAGATGACAATCATGCCTCCACCCATTTATATGTGGGGTGTTCATTAAGCATGCATGAAACAGACTACACTTTCTCCACATCCAACCTTGATCACAGACACTGCACATCAACCCTGCCCTCTTTCCACTCAATTGTCCATTACTCTGCAACCAGTTGCATCCAGATTATCATCTTTTGTACATTTCTGTCATTTCTTATCTCAAAGTTTTAAGATTCCTTGAGCATTCTGTTTTATATTTCTCATAACACCTAGGAAAGCAGCTTACACTTAACAGGCAAGATAAATGATTCTCTTTGTTTGAGTCAATACTAAAATAAAACCTAATCTGTAAAACTACATTATTTTTCAGTCAATGAAAGATACCAAAATCTGATCAGATTTCTAATTCAAGGAGTTCTGAGGAAAGGAGTTTGGGGGGACCTAGAGAGAACTTCAGTTTTAAGAAGAACTTCTTTCATGAGACAGAGAATTAGAGCCATAGAGTATCAGGAGGGGAGACCTGGAGAAGGGACATAACTGAGAGAGTCACAGGTTTTGTTTCATAGTGGCAGGGCTGGGACAAGGATACAGCCACTGTGACTTGAGATGAGGAGTGAAGTGTAGGGGCAGTAAGTTATTTTATCAGGATAGACATGAATCAGACAAAATGAAGGCCTGAAATATGAACCATCTTCTACAAACAACATTTTAAAAATGAAAAACCACTAAACCAATATTAATTTTCTACCAGCTTTTAAAGGGTGGAGAATCCCCTACGAAGACAGGGTATATGTTTGCACATGATTTGAAGGCTTGGGAAGAAAAGCACAGCTTGGCCCCACAGTGCAGCAAGTTCAATGATTCAAATATTCTGGCAACCCCAATACCTGATGAGAGGGGCCAGAAGGTGGAAGATCTTCATGGGCATGAGGTCAACTAAGTTTCAAATGATTGGTTCTTGAACCAGAAAGAGCGCACCAGAATAACTGGTATTTTATTTAGAAATCCACACTCCTGGAAGATGATGTGTTTTCTGGCCCTCTGAAAGATGATTATTTACACTGGGGCATGAGGCCTAGAAGCTCTTTCCAACTCTGCACACACTGCCTCTTACAGAAGCATGGCTGCCATAGAGGATTCTAGCTCTAGACCAGCTCTACTTGCCTATGCCCTTGTTGTTTATATACACATATTTAACTATTTACATGTTACTTTTTACCACATGGCTAGGATTGGTTGTGAATTTTGCACCGTTTAATATGAGAAAAAAAAGTATTTTACAAGCACTGATGAGAAGCCAATATTAGAAAATAAAATTTGCCAGTCGCTTGAGGCAAGACAGATTTACTCTCCGCCGCCCTCAGTAGGAGCAGAGGTCTGTGATGGGGCTTCATCCCTGGGAGAAGAACAAAGCCAAGGTTGTTACTCTTGAAAGGAGCAATTAAGCTTTTCCTTACCTCTTCACTTGAGAATTTTATATCACCCCCCAGTCACTTACCCAGCATCCTTATTGAAAATCTCATCCTCATCAGAGGAGTCCTTGTCATGTAGCTTCTGTGCCATGTTTTTCTTACGTGTGGCATTGAGAGGTCTGTACGTATCTCTACGCCAAAGTGGCCGCCTTAACCAGAAAAAGCCCTCCTAGAAAACAGAAAGTGGAACATTAATTCTGCTTCCCGCTGCCTTCCCTGGCCACAGCACTGGGTTCTCTTCAGATTTACCTGATTTTCACTTTCCATTGAGCTTCTCCTACACAGAAACCCAAAACAGCTCCTGGGGGGAAACACATGCACAAGACAATTAGTGATGGATGCCATTTTTCATGTCTTTTTGTAATGTGCACCTTTGGTCTTTTTAGGACAAAGCCTATACCTTAGTTCATAAGCACAATGAGCAAAATCATGCTAGACCTGGGGTCCTAAAAACAATTCCCTGCATGCTGGGCTACCAGAACTCTCTATGTATGTTCCCAAAGAGCCACATGAGCATAGGCAGGATTAGCAACTCTGCTTACCCTCTTGGCTAAGTACCTTGTACAGTACACAACCATACTGGGCTGAAGTGTTTTACTCTCTCCAGAGCCTTTCACATCAGTCCTCTTTGGACTTAAATCTCAACATGTATCATCATTTTGGGGTGGGGAGCAGGGTGGCTCTTGAGGGAGAAGGTGTTTCTATTTCCTAGCTGCTTTATCCTACAAGTTGAATTACATCAAGTAAATACCAAAGTCCAATTAGTAAAGTTGTCTAGCTCACTGATTTCCATATTGCAGGCTGTCACTTATGATTGAGTTGTAAAATCAGTTTAGACATATACATAACAAAAAACAATAGGAAAAAAAACCTGTGCATTGTTTCAAACATTGCTGATGTTTACATTGAAATGTGTCTACTAATTCACAATATCAAATGTTGCTCACAGCCCAAGTGTGGGTATAATTAATGGAGAAGTACCTAGCTGGAAAGGAACCATTTTCTGACACTAACTGTGACCACAGGGTAAGATATTTTCCCTTTCTTATTCTCCGTTTCTTATTATAAAAGGAAGAGACAAACTACTATTTCTAAGCTCCCTGTTAAAATTCTATGAAATCTAGGTAAAAGGAATAGAGAGTGGGGGTGAGAAGGTGACCAGTAAGGCAAGAAGGTAAAGTTTTCCTACCACCTGGAGGAAGGACTCATACATTCTACTTCTACTTCCGCCAGCCTGGAAGGGGAATAGCACAGCATGCTAATGACCCAAGGTCTTCCCTGTCCCTGAAAGCCTCAAAGAAGGGCTCCAGCTGAGTCTGATGCACGTGAACAGTGGGAGCAGGCACAGCCCAAACCTCTTGCCCTCCACTCTCTTTCCTTAAGGACTGGAGACAGCAGATGCATCCCTGCTAGTGCCTTTGACCTCAGCAGGCTGGGAAACTAGTTTTCCTGGAGCCAGGGGAGACATGAGAGGAAGTATTCTTCCTGCCTTTAGCAGTTTCCTCACTGTTAAGATTGAAATAGATGAGTTCTAAAATTCTCATTTAGGGGCTGGGGTTGTGGCTCAGCGGTAGAGCGCTCGCCTAGCATGTGCGATCCTGGGTTCGATCCTCAGCACCACGTAAAAATAAATAAAGATATTGTGTCCGACTAAAAAATAAATATTAAAAATAAAATAAAATTCTCATTTAAATACTGCCAGGCTCATATTTACCTTAAGGACTTTTCTTCATCATCTTGTGATGCTGTTTTATGGGAATAAATCTGTTTTGGAAGAAAATACTGTCATAAGTATCACAATGACCACTAATCTCCAAGTCTCTATTCATTCCTTATATTTATTTTTAAGTCTTATCTACCCAGTGAGATAATAACTTTTCTGAGGGCAGGAATTCTATCCTTTTAATGGTTCTCTGACTCTTCCATAGTACCTAGCTTAGGGTCTTGCATGCAGCTGGCACTTAATATATTTTATTGACTGTTTTAGATAAAATCCAACAGATAATTCCTAATAAAAACACTTAATAGTAGAAAAAGAAAGAACTACTTAACTTGATAAACATGTCTGCCAGAACTTTAAACAACAGTGTCGTTTTAAAATCAAGAATAAGATTAGGATGCCTGTTATTGCTGCTGTTCAACCTCATTGAGGAGGTCTTAATCAATGCAGTATGAAAAATAAATGAGGGCATAAATGGGGAAAGGAACTGAAACTATATATCAAAATGGATTCTACTGTCATGTATAACTAAAAAGATCCAATTAAAAAAATCTATGTAGTGAAAATACTAAAATTCAGCTGGATGTGGTGGCACACACTTATATTCCCAGCAGTCCGAGATATTAAGGCAAGAAGATCAAGTTTAAGGCCAGCCTGGGTAACTTTGAAATACCCTGTCTTAAAATAAAAAATATTTTTTAAATTTTTTTTATTGTAGCTCAGTGGTAGAGCACTTGCCTACCATGCGTGAGGCACTTGGTTTACCGCATAAAAATAAAATATGGAAGGAAATGCTTCCTTTTAAAAAATAAAAATAAAAAAGACTGGGAGTGCAGTTCGGTGGTGGAGTGCCCCTGAGTTCAATCCCTAGCACCACAATAAATAAATAAATAAATAAATAAATAAATAAATGCACATTAAGAAGAAATGAATATATGGCATGAGATTACATGTTCCCAGAATGTTGTAAAGATGTTAATTCGCAAATTCATTTTCAAATTCAATCTAGTCCTATTCAAATTCAAAGACAGTTTTTTTGTTTGTTTGTTTTTGTTTTTATTTTGTTTTTCTTTTGGCAGAGAAAATATATAAGAATAGTGATGAAATGTACGAAATGATCAGGAGAGCAGGAGCTTGCCCTACCAAATATATAGCTTGAAATATGTTATAAAGCAACTGGAATTAAGTGGTGTGATGTTAGTACTGGCACTGTGTTAGATTCTCAGCAACACATACAAACAAACAAACAAATAAATAAATAAATAAATAAATGTCCATTGACAACCTATTGAGAAAAGTAATAAACCATCATGTAAGCAAACAGAAGGTAAACAGAAGCCAGAGCCAGGAATATACTATTATCACTAGGACCTGCTCTGGAGTAGCCTGATGAGAATTTAGCTGCAGTGCTTTACCTGAACACCTACTTAGACAATACCTCACACTGGAGGAGGAGGAAGCTGTGTGGATCCACTGAGTCTACATATAGCACTTTTATCTTTTAGCCCTCTCCTTTTACCCCAGGGTGATGACTGCTGCTTGAGAGTGAAGTCATTTCTTGTCATTTCAGTAACAAGGAAAGAAATCAGTGGTAGAATGAAAGTACATCAAAACTTTACAAAAATGAGAATAACAAATTGTGGACATGGTTTTGGGTTGGACAAATTTTGCTGCGATGACATCTCTGGCCATATTAGTCTTAATTTCTTAAGAAATTATAGCTTGTTCTCTTGGTTTCAATTTCTCAAAGATTCCCTGGAAATGAAGTTCCTTTAAAAGTCTCTGGGGCTGGGCACTGTGAAGCACACTTATAATCCCAGCTGCTTGGGAGGCTGAGGCAAAAGGATTGTGAGTTCAAAGCCAGCCTCATCAATTTATCGAGGTACTAAGCAACTCAGTGAGACCCTGTCTCTAAGTAAAATACAAAAAAGGGCTGGAGATGTGGCTCAATGTTCAAACACCCCTGGGTTCAATCCCTGGTACCAAAAAGTAAAATAAAAAAATAAATAAAAATCCCTAGAATATATTTTTCAATAAAAGAACAAAGCATAACTCAGTGTTAGTGACTGAAGAGAAATGTCAAGTAGTAGGTGGGGAAGGAACTTTGATTTTCAGGGTATACGTTCTAAATCTATTACAATGATAAGATGTATTCTGGAAACCTGAATTGATTGTTGTCCTTACCTCAATCACACAGAAAATTATAATCAAAATCATCACCACTACAGTCACAGATATTGCCAAGATGAGTTTGTTGTTATGACCATATCCCGGGACTCCTTTTGTGAGCTAAAAGAAAGAAAAAGAATGTTTAACTATTCAAAATTTCCATTCTTCCAGGTGAATAGCTGGCAGTTTCTTAAAGAACACACCAAATTTAATATGTTACATCTTATTATCACACATTTTTTTCCTATTATTTGTTTATCTTGTGTGTTAAGTCCACTTTATTCTCTAATGGAACAAAATGGGGATCACTGTCTTGGGCAAAGTTATGTGGCCAAGACAAGATGTGGACTAGAAGCCCCTGGTCTTCCCGCTTGAATGCTTCAATTGTATACCCTAAATGATGAAAAAGTCTGGGCTTCTTGTTCAATAGTTTCCCTCACCTCACTTGTCTCCTCATGCTCTTTGTTATCACCCTGGGCTTCTGTGCTCTCATTGATATAGTTCTCAGTTTTCCACTGGTCTGTATCCCATTCGGCCTTGGACCCCTTGATTTCTTGCTGCTCACTGAGAAGCTTCATCAGGAGGCCTGTTCTGGAGATGAGCTTGGCACAGGCCAGTTGCACATAGGGTTCAGAGCAGTCCAATTTCAAAGTCCGAATAACATGAGAAATGAGCCTTCTCACGTCATTGTTGGGGATGAGGGACCGAAGATGCTGGTTTAGCTGAATTTCAAACTGATCACCTGGGGATGCCGTCAATGGGTAGGATAAGTCTTCAGGCTTGGGTTGTGAGTCAGTGTTCGAGTTGAGGTATTCCCATTGTGTCTTATTGGTTTGTTGAACAGTTGGCATTATGTTGAAAGGAGTCACAGCAGAATCTACAGCCTCTGCAGCAGCGTTTTCATAGGTTGCATTTTCAGAGGTGGGTTCATCCAACACAGTAATGTTTGCTTCAGAAATAGTTCCTTCAGAAGGAATTTTTGCAGTATTGTTTTCTGCAGGAACACTTTCTATAGGTTCTGGAAGAGCATATAATCTTGAGAAAGGATTCTCCTGAGAATTCAGGTCTCCTAAAGATGAAGAGGCCCCTCGTGGGGGGGAATTTATGAGGCTCCTTATTGCAGAGAATGGGGGCCTCTTTGCAAGCATCAGTCTATTGTGCAAATTATCCTTTCTGAACTTTCGACTCACTTTGGCCTTGGGTATTCTGTGGGCTGCAAGAGGGTAAGTTTTATGAAAGCTGTGAGTCTTTTTGGAACGCATGACTGGTTTATCAGCCTTCAGGCTTTTAACTCGAGCATTTGCATCTTCTAAAACAAAAAGGGTGTAGGTTAAGTCTTTTGCTTTGTTTCTAATCTCAGGCTGTAATTTTGAAATGGAGGAGGTGGGAGATTTGCCCAAGGAGTATTGTTTCAAAAAAGAAGAGACTGCTGCCTTATGTTCATTTGTAAATGAAGCGTCCAGGAGGGAGTTTCCCACTAACTTCCTGGGCCTCCTCCGCACCTTGTGAAGCTGCTCTAGTTCCCTTGGGATTGGTCTCCTGAGCCTGCCTTCTTGGGCAACATTCTCCGCAAGTGCCCAGGCACTCTGTTTCCGTTTTCTCATTTCATTGAGGTGTCTTTTCCGTATGCCCTTCGGCCCCTTGATGACTCTGTTTACTCTCCGCAGCCTTTTCTTTGTACTCTCAATCTCTGCTAGGCTGTTTTCCTGTGGTTGGGCAGTTTCCAATTTCTTTTGAAAGATTTGGCGTTTAAATTTGGGACCTAAAAGCCTAGATTGCATAAGCATGACAGTTTTTTCTTTTTTTTTCACCTCATCAATTTTTTCCTGAATTTCTGCATCTAACAAATTTTCCAGAAAATGAAGCTTCTTTAATTTGTTTTTATAAGTTGGATTGTTGGATGCAGTTGAAAGAGAGTTCTTTGTATTGTTCTTCAAATATTCCATGGCATTACCTCCATCTTGTACGTTTGAAAAAAGCAGTTTAATGAATGGTAATAATGTTGACTCTACGTCTTCTAGATTTCCCTCTGAGAAATATGGCAATATGTAATTTAATGCACTTATAACATCACTTTCATCATTGAAGTCTAGCTGTTCATTTAAGAATCCCGAAAAGGTGACACCATTTTTATCTGAAGCTGGCTTTTCAGGCTCAATAGAAAGCTCAGTGCTAGTGTTCTTCTTCCGGGCCTGTAACACCTTCATGAATGATCCTTCTGTATTCCCTACAGATGCATCTTGAACTGTCAAAAAAGAAGAGACTACTTTTGATAACAGAAGACTGATGGACAGCTTTTTGTCAGTCCACAGCCATACATTCCAGCCAAACATTTAAGTGTCATTTAGAAGAAAGAAAAATAATTTCATAATTAAACCTATGAAATGGCAACAACACAAAGAAAAAAAAGACATCTTTATTGACAAAGTGCTACTTAACTCAGAATATTCCATACTGTGTATAAGAACTCTGTTTAGGACAGCCAATTGCCCAATACTCAATAAAAGCCCAAGACTAGAAGAGAAATATTCATGGGCTCTGAGAGATTCTCTACAGATCAGCTGTGTCTCCTTACATTTACATACCCCATGCTGTCCCCGCTCAGATACAGAGGGGGCACAAGGCTTCCTCTATCCACCTCTTCAGTGTGTCATGTTCCTTCACATCAGATGATCATGACAAAGGACATTCTTCCAAGGAGAATAAGAACCAAGAAGCTAAAGCACAGGCTCCGCTCTTTCTGTTAACACATCCTCCCTCATCTGAACATGTCCTTTCCACCTACTCACCCAGTTCCTTCACCTGGCCCCTGTTCCCCGTACATCTTAGGCTCCATAACAGATGCCTCTACACACACACACACACACACAAAACACCCCACTATATCCATACTGGTTCTTTCCCTAAATTAAGGCAGGGATCTGGGATGTGAGTTAAAAGATTTTTTAATTTGCCTGGTTCTATGCCAATACTGAATGTGCAATAAATCGACAGAATAACAGCATTTTCTGGATAAACAATACTTGAGGTTCTGAAGTACAGTAATGGAAAAGCTATTTTTGTCAGAAGCCTTCCCTGTTTTCATATTAGATGTGAAAACTAGCAATTCTAGCTCTGGGAATCATCCAAAGCTTCTAGCTAAATGAGGTCAAGTGTACCATTGTGTAGCTGGATTTTTTTTTTCCTTTTTTTTTTTTTTTTTTTTGGGTACCTGGGATTTGAACCCAGGGGCACTTAACCATTGAGCCACACCCCCAGGTCTTTTTTATTTTTTTTATTTTGAGACATGGTCTCACAAAATTGCTTAGGACAAAACTCGTGGAGCCATATTTTATTTTTCTCTTTTCGATACACCTCATCCCCTAACTCTTTTAGTCAATCATTAAAGCATTTGTTATTCTTCTAAAGCTCCCAGGATTTTTTTCCTTTTAACAGACTAAAGTCAAACCTTAAAATGTTTTTAATATCTTACTTTTAAAACCTGGCATTTTTATTTGTTATCAAACAGAATAAATTGATGGAATTTGATTTTTCTTGTTCTAACTTTTATTTGTCCTTTTTAGTTATGGCAGTAGAATGTATTTTGACATATCATATACACATGGAGTATAACTTCCCATTCTTGTGGTTGTACATGACGTGGAGTTACACTAGTTGTGTATTCATATATGAACATAGGAATGTTATATCTGATTCATTCTATTGTTTTTCCCATTCCCATTCCCTCCTCCTTCCCCCACTCCCCCTTGCGCTCCCAGGATTTTCTTTCTACTCCCATCACAACCACTCTGATTAAGCTCCTTCTTGCTTTACTCATAGATTTTGCTAAAGTTTTCTAGGTGGCCCCATTGAATTAAGCTTTCTCTTCTAGATCACTCTAAAAATGGATTATAAAATTATCTTCCTGTTTTAATTATTTTTATCTCTTGCTTGAAAACTTTCAGTGGCTCTTCATTTCTCACTGTGTAACTTTCAAACACCTATAGTTGATATTTAAGATTTTTCATATTACCTTTCATTGATTCTAACCCAATACTTTGTAGGCCTACTAGTCTACCAAATCCTGGTCATTCTTGCAGCCATTCCTTTGTGTAGATATACTTCCTGTTTTTTTCTTTAACAATTATAGCCACTTTCAAGCACCAGGTAACATTTGAGCCTATCTGTACAGCTTTCCCAACATCCATACCTCAGTAATGAAAGATTCTGAAGAATTACTGCACCTGTGGTCTGCATCCTCTTTTGGTACTTAATTATATATCATCTCCATTTTTAGTCTTCTTCCCACCTATCATTTTCGTGTTCTGTAAACAATGTCATATTTCTGTGGCTCCTATAGTACTTAGCCCTCAGTTGGGCACAAAATGGATGTTATATGAAAGCCAAGGCTAAGATGAATTCTGGACATAACTGAGGGACTGAATAATAATATTAACAGCTAGTATTCATATATGATAGGCACCGACATGAGTATTACATGTACTCTCTCATCTAAATTTCACAACAATCCTATGAACTGGTAACTATCATAATCCCCATTTTCCAAATAAGGAAACTGAGACATAGAGCTTTTTTGCCCAAGGTCACAACGCTAATAAATGAAAGATCTGGGTTCAAAGTCAGGCAGTCTTATTCTAGAATCTACTCTTAACCACTTGGTTGTATCATCATTAATGAGTTGTAAAGCAGATGGAGCAAAATGGTAGAGCTTAAGCAATGATATGATAGGGCTAAATAAAAATGGGTAAGAAAATAAAGGATGATCACAAGTGAAAGATGGGAGAAAGGACACAAGAGTAAGAAGGAAAAAGAGGATATGGAGAAGTTGACAAGCAAAAACTAAAAGCAAAAAGTCAGTCAATGTGGGTTGGGGAGATGAGAAAGGTCCCGGAGACCCTTGAGGAAAAGGGTAGGCAGAATTCAGAGCACAAATGAGGAAAGGTGATTCTTACAAGACTGTGAAGGTGCCATTGTAGCTGTAGGGCTCTAGCACAGGCACTCGGTGGAGTTTCTGCATTGGGGCGAGACCAACACACAACAGTGTCTCATCTTGGCAGGTACAGAGCTCACATATACTAGTGTTCTTGGTGACATTTTCTTCCTTTTCTGTGGCATAAATTTCGGGGAAATGAGTTGTGGTTTGGTCTGGCTCCACTTGTGCAACTGTGAATTCAGTCATATTTGTTTGCTGTGAAGTTGTTTCAGTTGTTGAAAGAGTTGTAGGAGTTGCAGAACTTTCAGTTGCCACACTGGGTAGTGGAGTCAGGGTAATTGTCACGTCTGGAGGTTGAACTCCAACACTAGAGGACTCCGACACCGGAGTTGTACTTATTGTTGGAAGTGTAATCTCATAATATACAGGAGGTTTCGCTATAATCTCTTTATATGGCTCTGGAAGCTGAATTGGCTTCCCCGGCAAGGTTTGAGAAGACGCAATATCAATGTTGGGTTTTGAAGTTATGGTAATTTCCACTTCAAAAGATTGAGCTATGACTGAAGTTTCCTTGTGGTTGATTTGAGGATTTGTAGTCTTTTGGTATGGACGTGGAAATGTCACATCAGGGGGCTCTGGAGGAAGATTTGTAGTTTCCAGATCTAGATGTGGAAATGTTGTCTCCGGGGGTTTTGGAGGAGGATTTGTAGTCCCCTGGTGAGGACGTAGAAGTGTTACCTCATGGGGCTTTAGAGGAAAAGCTGTAGAATGTTCTCCCACATTGGGCTCTGGAGTTATGGGGAGTTCCACGTCGTGGGGCTTTGGAGGAAAAGCTGTAGGATGTTCAACCTTGACATTGGGCTCTGGAGTTATGGGGAGTTCCACATCCTGGGGCTTTGGAGGAAAAGCTGTAGGATGTTCAACCCCCACATTGGGCTCTGGAGTTATGGGGAGTTGCACTTCCACAGGTTTAAATGCGAGGCTGGGTACTGTTGAATAATGAACTTGATTCTCAGTTAGGACCTGTGGCTGAGTTGAAGTTTCTTGTGTTGGAATCATTCCTTCTTGATACTTTGGAAGCAAAGTTGAGGTTTTCTGCATGGTTGGAAAAACAAATACGGGGACCGTTGGAAGAGATATAGAGAACGTTCCAATAGCTATAGGGAACGATGAAAGAGCGACAGGCTTCTTCTTCGCCCTAGAACGTTTAGTGGGTTTTGGAGTCGAGGTGAGTTCCAGGTCCAAAGGTTGAAATGTAACACTGGGTGATGTTAAATCCTGAGCTTGATTCTGACTTAGGACCTCAGTTGAAGTTTCCATCTGAGTTGTGGTTGCTTGTTGGGCTGAAGAAAATCCAAAGTTTTCAGGGAATCCTGGAGACTGGGAAGGGGCATTCGACTGGGTTGGATAAAATGTAACTTGCTGGGTGGAAACTGGCTCAACTTCTTTAGTGGCTTCTGAAGGTACAGTAACTATCAGAGCCACATGTTGAACTGTGGTTTTAGGCAAATTTGAAGACCCACTTCTGAACATTACTTCTAGATCTTGAGGTGAAAATGACATGGAATCACTGAAGGAAGCAATAGTCGGGACAAATGTGGATTCTGGAGGTTTAGTTGGGAGTGTTTCCTGGACTGGTGGAAGTTCAACACTCACGGGGGGCGTTGAGGGCAGAGATGAGCTCTCCTGCTGACTTGATAAAGATTCCTCAGGCAGCTCTTCAAGCTGACTGGGGACCTCTTGATCAATTGGAGGTTGTTCCTCCTCTAGAGGGGGGCTTGGCTGAGGTTCCAACTGCTCAGGGGACACTGAGGACTCATCTAGGGTCTCCTGTTGCGCTGAAGTTTCAACCTCACTATTCAATTCTGGAGTAGGAGACTCAGCTTGATCAGAACCTAGAGAAGAACCTGTCACATCCTCACCTTCTGGAGATTGACCTACATCGTTAGGGAGCTCTGGAGGCACAGTTGGGGCTTCAGGCTGGGATGCAGAAGGTCCTGACTCATTAGTTGGAATTGAGGGAGGAACTATAGCCTCACCATTGATCATAGAAGTTCCCACCTCTGTAGTGGGTTCAGGTGTTATAGTCATTAGTACATCTGCAGGTTCACCGGTCACACTGGGCAAGTCTAGAGATTGCACTGGTACTTCCAGCTGGCTTTCAGAAGACTGGTCCTCCCCAGGAGACTCAGAAGGCTCAGTTGAGGTCTCTTGCTCACTGAGAGAAGGTTCAGTCTCCACAGGAGGGCCCGGAGGCTGAGCTGGGGTCTCTTGCTGGGTCAGAGAAGGTTCTACCTCCTCCACATACTCTGGAGGCTGAACTGGGGCCTCCTGAACTGGGGCCTCCTGAACTGGAGCCTCTGGCTGAACTGGGGCCTCCTGAACTGGAGCCTCTGGCTGAACTGGGGCCTCCTGAACTGGAGCCTCCTGAACTGGGGCCTCTGGCTGAACTGGGGCCTCCTGCTGGGCTAGAGAAGATTCGGCCTCCTTGGTAGGTTCCGAAGTTATGGTAATTTCCACATCTGCAGGCCTACCTGTAACACTGGGCAAGTTATAATAATGAACTTGATCCTGACCTAGAGATGGAACTACAGGTAGAGTTGGTAGAGTTTCAGCTATATTCTCCATAGGGGACTTGGGAGCTTGAACTGGAGTCTCTTGCTCAGCTAAAGAGGGTTCAGAGAGCTCTGAAGTCTGAGCTGGAGCCTCTTTTTGGGTTGATGAAGGTTCTACTACTTCAAGACCCTCTGAAGGCTGGGTTGGGGCCTGCTCCTGGCCTGAAGGAAGGTGAATCTCTTTATCTGCCTGCGGAGTTACGGTAACCAGATCTGCAGGTTTACTTGTGACAACCGGCTGAGTGTCACTTCTTAGAGATGAAAGCTTATGATGCATTGATGCTTCACCTCCTAGAGCCTCCTGGTCCTCAGGAACTTCTTGCTGGGACGAAGAGGACTGGAGCTCCTCAGGAGTCTCTTGGGCCTCCACAGAAGGTTCAACCTGGTCAGGAGTTTCTGGAGACTCCTCTGAGTTCTCCTGGGATTCCGGAGGTAGGTTGCCAGAAGAAGCTACATCTGTACTTGGATACACATAATCATCCTGCAAGTTGTTCTGAAGCTGAAGTTTTGCAAATTGCTTTGGAGTTCCACCAACAACTTTAGCAAATCTCGGATGCTGAGCTACATCCTTCTTCAGATTCAGTGGTGAAACAATAAACTTTGCTGCTTTTGCACTCTGACTATCTAGAGGTGGAACAAGTACTTCAAATGACTGGTGATCTGTAGACTGATGCAGATTGACAGTATGAATCTTACTTTTGAGTCGAGCATTGGAACCAATTCTGGGAGCCTCTCTTTCGGAATTAGTTTGTCTTGATGCAGCAAACTGATCTTGAACAGCAAACTGATCCATCTCTGGGGCCGGCTCTCCAGGTGAAACCCTGCCCAAGAATGGAAGCAAACTGTCAGTTAACTTCCGTGGTGAGTCCAACATCTGGGAGCGAGCAGAGGACCCCAGGTCATCAAAGACTCCCGGGTCTGCCGGGGGTGTAAGCGCATGGGGCGATAAGGGTGGGAGTTCAGAGGAGAGCAGAGACCAGGGCTTGATAGGCCCTGGGTGCTCAGCGGTCAGCTGGAGAGGGTCCTGGGGCGACTCCAGAGGCTGAGCTGCCTGGACCAGCAGCCACAATGGTTGCCACGTGAGGAGAAGCCCTGGTGCCCAGAGGCGCAGCAGGGACATGACGTGCGGAGGCTTCGGGGCACAGCGACCTAGGCCAATGGGGCGCGGGGCGCGCCTGTGGGAGCCTAACCGTTATGGCAGCCCCTTGAGGCGCGCGCCTGGGAAACCTCAGTGGCCCCGCCCCACCCTTTATTTATGACACCTTGATTATAACACCTTTATTAGGCTCAACCTTTATTAGGCTCACTCAGACCGGGAGCCTTTTCCCACAATCAACCAACCCAAGCTTCCCTTCCCCAAGCAGGGGCCACAATCGACCCCCACAGGCCCCCTCCCCTACATCGAAGCAGGATCTGGGCCCTAGATGTGGGTGGCACCAGGATTTAGGGAGGACCTAGCTGAGTTCGAGAGAGATGGCATAGAAAGGAGGATAAGGATTCAGAGGAAAGGAACAAGATCTGGGAGGCTAGATGGAACTGGAGGGCTGGAAATGATCATGGGCATCTCATCTTATTCTTTGGTCCTTCCAGCCACCAATCAATATAACCAGCCATTCATTACCCTACCATCCACCCATGCTTTCTGATTTCTTGAATATCTACTGTGTGTCAGGAAATATGCAAAGCCTAACAAGGGAAATTAACTGGGTCAACTATAGATGTTGCTTTCAAGGAAATTTTAGTATAAGAATGATAATATGTACCTTAAAAACCACAAAGCAATGTAAAAAAGAGAAAGTGTTGCAAGACAGTTGCACAAATTCCAGACCAAAAGGGAGATGTCCCTGCCACACAGAGACATGAAACCTTTGCACCAGCCATTTCCTGTGTCTGGAATTGTCTTCCTCTGGCATTTGGTTGATCAGATTTTCCATTTCATTAAGCACTGCTCAATGTCACTTCCTCAGAGAGTCTTTCCTTAAGTTCTCCATCCAGAACAGTCAGTGTCACCTGTCACACACCCTACTACTTTATTCTTCTTCATGCATTTATCGCTACCAGATGTAATACTGTGGTGTGTGTGTGTGTGTGTGTGTGTGTGTGTGTAGGGAAGCGGATTTGTTTGTATCCCTAGACTCTGAAACAGTTCTTGATATATAATAAGTGTTCAATTAATAATTTTTGCAGGAGTGTGAAATGCTGGGAAAAGCTTCCTGGCTTTGAAAAGAAGAACAGGAGACAAAGAAAGATGGCTAAAAAGCATGGCACTTACAGTCATTCAAGGAGTAACCCTCATATACTGATGTGGATGTTAAATACCCCCTTTACTCTTAGTAGAGCTGGAATTTGAACCATCGTCTCTTTGGTCCTGATTCCACCACATATTGATCCCTCAGCACCAGGAGACCTCCCTGTGCTCCAGTGGGGTAGCCGACATACCCCAGGGTCTGTTACCCACTGGGCCGGCAGGGAGCAGTTGGAGATGGCACTAGGGGGTTGTGATTCTCCAGGTGCCTTTGGCAAGACTCCTCAGTTGACCTGAAACCGACGATTGTGAAGCAGGGCAATTTCCAGGGTCAGATGCTGTTGAGAGCCACAGCCAAAGGGGCCCCAGCAAACTTCCAGCTGCCAGCAAACTTCCAGCTGCTGGCTGATGATTGGCTCACAGCGGCCCCAGCAACATCTAGCTGATTGGCTCCTCGGCCCCAGCAACATCTAGCCGATTGGCTCCTCTGCGGTGATGCTCACTGGGCTGTTCCCCTGCCCTTTCAGACCACGGAGCTGCTCATTGGGGGACTTTTTTGGCTCCGCCCACGTGACCCAGCCAATCGGCCTCAAGAGCAGGAGGATTGTGGGAGGTGGAGAGAAGCTTGTGTGGGAGAGGGAGGCTTGTGGAAAGCCGGTGGTGGCAGTTGAGGCTCTGAGGGTTTTTCCTGAGAGGCTGTTTTGTTTGGCATGTGTGGTTCTAAAAATAAAGTTAGTTTCTTTTGACAAGTGGCTCCTGATTGTGCCCAGCCAGACTGCAGCATTTGGTGGCTCGCACGGGGAGCGACTGAGGGTAAGTGAAACTGCTCGCCCCTGAGGGCAGGGCGAGAGGATGGGTAGCCATTTTAAGATTCCTCTTTTATTTTGCTTCACTTTTGTTTTAAGTTGCCTGTCCCTGGAGATGAGTGAGACGGAAGAAAAACCGCTCACATCTGAGGAAAAACTATTTACGTCTGAGGAACAGATAAGGAGAAAGGACGGATGCACATGTCAGGAGGATAGAAAGGCTATAATGACTTTTTGTTGTTCCCTTTTTATTTCATTCTGTCTCGGTTTTGTTTGGCGTTATCTTGTTGGGTTGTATTATAGTAGAAATACGGGATCAGAAATTAGTAAAAAACAAACTGAAAGAGTGTTAAGTAAATTGTTAGAGGAAGGAGGCATCTCAGTAAAATCAAGAACAATCAGGGCATACGTTGATACAATACAAAAATGTAGCCCATGGCTTTTTAAGGAGGAGTTGTTAAATATATCACAATGGAACCATCATGGTGAAGATTTAAAAAGAGTAGAAAAGAAAAGCCCAGGGACTCTGCCAGTTGGCACATTGCCATTGTGGACATTCGTATCTTGTTTGCTTAGTCCAAAGCCTTCAGTTCAGACAATGGTAGAGGAAGGAGAAGACATAATGATTCAAGTAAAGGGAAGGTCTCTCAAGTTAGTCAGACAGAGGAAAAGATTCAAGTAAAAGAGAAGGCCTCTCAAGCTAGTCAGACAGAGAAAGAAAGTGTAAAACAGAAAAAGCCATCAGGGGGAAAGTTACAACAGGAGACTGCTACTAACACCTTTCTATCACCAGAGGGTGTAAGTGTCCAATCAACAGCACCACCTCTACAGGAGACTGCTACTAACACCTTTCTATCACCAGAGGACGTAAGTGTCCAACTAACAAGGCCACCTCCATATGCTGGGAGGTCCCCAACCCCCGCAGTTGATAGTTGGGATCCTGAGACAAGATCTCAAATATTAACGTGCCCTGTATTTGAGGCAGGAGGGCAGCGAGTTTACCAAGTTTTAAATTTCAAAACAGTGAAGCAGCTAAAAGAGGCTGTAACAACCTATGGTCCTCAAGCACCCTTAACTGTAAGCATGGTCGAATCCATTAACAACTTGAACATGACGCCAGCAGATTGGGCTAATATGTGTAAAGCTGTGCTAAATGGAGGACAATACCTGTTATGGAAGGTTGCCAATGAGGAATTTTGCAAGGAGCCGGCTGGGCGAAATGCAGCAGCCGGTTATCCTCAGAGAAATCTAGATATGTTGTTAGGAAAGGGACCTTATGAGGATCAGCAGCAACAAATTGCATATGGTCCGTCCACCAAAAATTCAAATACGAGTAGATCAACTCAAATCACTTAATGACTTTCAAAAGTTATTAGGAGACATAAATTGGATAAGGCCTTATTTAGGTATACCAACAGGAGAGTTGGGACCTTTATTTGATATCCTAAAAGGTCCATCAGATCCAAATTCACCCCGAATGTTAACGCCTGAAGCAAGAAAGGCATTAAAAATCATTGAAACATATATGGAAAATATGCATTTGGATAGAATTGATATAAGTTTGCCTTTATTATTTATTGTACTACCAACAAAAAATATTCCTACAGGAGTATTTTGGCAAGAAGGTCCATTATTATGGATACATTTATCTTATTCTCCTAACACTATTCTTACTAGGTATCCTGAGGCTGTAGGACAATTAATACTCAAAGGAATAAAAGCAGCAAAGGGAGTGTTTGGAATTTCTCCCAATAAAATTATTACTCCATATACTATGAATCAAATTGATGAGTTAGCTAATGAGTTAAATACTTGGGCAATAATCATGTGCAAATCTAATGTTTCATTTGATAACCACTTACCATCTAATCCTTTATTGTCTTTATGGTCATTGCATCCTGTAATTTTTCCAAAAATGACAAGAAAAACACCTATCATGAATGCTCCAAATATATTCACTGATGGGTCAAATAATGGTACAGCAGCAGTAGTTACCCCTGATCAAACTTTTACATTTTTAGTACCCAAACAATCAGCTCAAAAGGTAGAGCTTAATGCAGTTTTACAAGCTTTTGTGATGTTTAAAGATTCTGTATTTAATTTATTTTCCGATAGTCAGTATGTAGTTAATGCTATAGTTATCTCTTGAAGATGCTGGTAGGATTTCCCCTTCTTCTACTGTTTTCTCTTTGCTTTCCACTATACAAAGTCTAATCTGGGACAGAAAAGATCCATTCTTTATAGGACATATCAGGGCACATACAGGATTGCCTGGAGCCCTTAGTTTGGGCAATGATTTAGCAGATAAAACTACACATGACATACATATTTTCTCTACACTAGAAGAAGCTATAAATTTTCATAAAAAGTTCCATGTCAATGCTAATACTTTACAAAAGCGTTTTAAAATAGCTAAGGAACAAGCTAGACAAATAATAAAACAATGTCAAAATTGTGTGACCTTTTTACCACAAGTTAATCTTGGAGTCAATCCTAGAGGATTGATACCTAACCATATTTGGCAGATGGACGTCACACACTTGCCAGAATTTGGAAAATTAAAATATTTGCATGTTACAGTTGATACTTCTTCTGGATTTTTGATGGGCTCCCTTCATGCCGGAGATGTTATAGCTAAAGATGTTATAGCTCATTGCTTACAAAATTTTGCCACTGTGGGTGTTCCAAAACAGTTAAAAACAGATAATGCCCCTGGTTATACTTCTACCTCTTTTAAACAATTTTGCTCAACATTTGGCATTACTCATATAACAGGAATCCCATACAATCCACAGGGACAAGGCATAGTTGAAAGAGCTCATCAAACTATTAAAATGTACTTATTAAAGCAAAAAGAAGGAATTGGGAAGGGGTATATATTCCCCAAAGATAAACTTAAAATAACCCTTTTTACTCTAAACTTTTTAAATTTGGATTCATCAGGACTTAGTGCTGCGGAAAGGCATATGTGTCCAAAAAATGTACATAAGCCCAAGGTACTTTGGAAGGATATTCTAACAGGACAATGGAAAGGTCCTGACCCAGTAATTGTCTGGAGTCGGGGGTCTGTTTGTGTGTTTCCACAGGGAGAACAGCAGCCGATTTGGATTCCAGAGAGATTAACCAAGGTCCTGACCCAGTGATTGTCTGGAGTCGGGGGTCTGTTTATGTGTTTCC